GATACCATGTTTATTAACCTATACAAAACATTTAGAAAGCCCCTTTTTAAAGCATCATTGCACACCCACAAGAATCAGCATCCACCACAGCAGTGGTGCCATTTCAAACTGAATTATAAAGTGCCCTTAGTAGACGTGTAGACATAACATGCTTTCTCCCACATATTCTCTTGTCCTTGGAGCTGATGAAGTACTGCAAGTGTGAGGTAACTCACAATACTCACAACAATTTGTGTTGCACTTCATTATTGTATCATTCTTAGGTTGTGAATTCAATAGATCTTGTGACAGACTGTATTAAAGATTGCTCCATTTTAACATCTTTCAGATTTGTTCTAGCATGTCAAGATATTAAGATATAAATTCATTGTTTTCTTCATCCCAATCTCAATGTGAATGCACGTGCATGCCCTCTCACAAGCATGTGCACATGGACTCACACAGACACACATAGTCTCACTGATACATTTCTTACATTAGGTGAGGGTCCAGGGGAAGGAAGCTCCACCCTTTGTTGTTCACTCAGTTTGACTGTTGGCTCTTCCTGGAGATACAATACAACTCTGTGTTCTTGAGTGAGTGTGTGTGTGTGTGTGTGTGTGTGTGTGTCTTTGAAGCAAACCCAAAAGACCTGGTGTTTGCATGGCTCGACCTTAATTCTTGTACTAAAGAAAGAATTTTAAACTTTGAATAAATGACAATCGGACAACTGAATTCGGCCTATGACAATAACCATTTTGACATCATTTTGTAGGGCATAATAATATTTTAATAGGCTGGGTTCCAGTGTGAATGGAAAGCGGATTGAGATCCACTGAGAATGAAAAGTGAACTCAGTCTCTCGGTTCATATTTCAGTTTAAAGTCAGCATGAAATTAAAATTCACTTAATCTTTTTTGTAAATGGACCTTAATGATCTTATTGTGCGCAATTCATCTATATGTTTAATTTTTTTAATTGACTTAGTAATTCTTCATTAAAATGACATAACTGGATCTTCCAGTGAAACAACAAACTTCTCTCTGTTGATGTATACCTGACTTCTCCAATCATTTAGTTCTCTTAAACTCTGCCCCTTTCTCACAATCAAGCTCAAATTCAGATCCGCCTCCATCCAATCAACGAATGAAGTATAGATGTATGTCCCGCCTTACACTTTTCTTTTGCGATAATCCATTTCACTTGGATATACAGTGGGTACGGAAAGTATTCAGACCCCCTTAAATTTTTCACTCTTTGTTATATTGCAGCCATTTGCTAA